GCGTGTTGAGTCCCACAATGCCACCCCCCAAAGAATTCACACTTCACACATCAATTTTTGTTTAAGGTTTTTGGCATAATTTTTTGGCCACAACTTTATTCAAAGTACAAAAATGTGAGTGGTTGCTTAGGCATTGGTTATGACTATCTGTCCTCGCCCCAGGGACAGAGCTGACTTCCGGATTCCAGTGGAAGCCAGCGTGGGAAACAAGTATTGGGTGAGAAAATGAAGCTGGGCATCAGTCTCACACTTCTCACCCTCATGTTCCGGTGGGGCTTGCACGGCCCAAGTCCGATACCAGGGACAAGGACGAAAGAATGGCAAGCCCCTGGATTCCTTTAACGGAATTCCCATTTCCGCACCACCATTGGAGGGGTAGGCACTTACCCCTCCACCAACCAAATTAACCAATGCCTAACCGCCAACCTTACAAGTTGTGACGATTTGCTACGCAGTAGGCAAAAACCAAATGGCACCAGCCAATCAGCCAAATGGCAAAATTCCTACCAGGCCCCCGCACCAAGGCGGACGACCCCATGACAGGCATAGCAAGGTCAAGATCCAAAAAAACCCCTCTTATTAAAGGGAGGGTGGGCGGGTGAATCAGTGCAAAAGGCCAAGAGGACGCCCAGTGTTGGACGTCCTGTATTTAAAGCCTCTGACCCCACCTCCGAAATGGCAACATTCAAAACTCCCCAGTAACCCAAATTAACCACTTAAAGGCTTGGGTTCCTCACCAAATCTGCCCAGTAACAGCAGGGTGGCTTGTTCCCCCAACCGCAACACGTGCTCTCTTTTATGGAGAACACGCTTTGCGTGTTGAGTCCCACAATGCCACCCCCCAAAGAATTCACACTTCACACATCAATTTTTGTTTAAGGTTTTTGGCATAATTTTTTGGCCACAACTTTATTCAAAGTACAAAAATGTGAGTGGTTGCTTAGGCATTGGTTATGACTATCTGTCCTCGCCCCAGGGACAGAGCTGACTTCCGGATTCCAGCGGAAGCCAGCGTGGGAAACAAGTATTGGGTGAGAAAATGAAGCTGGGCATCAGTCTCACACTTCTCACCCTCATGTTCCGGTGGGGCTTGCACGGCCCAAGTCCGATACCAGGGACAAGGACGAAAGAATGGCAAGCCCCTGGATTCCTTTAACGGAATTCCCATTTCCGCACCACCATTGGAGGGGTAGGCACTTACCCCTCCACCAACCAAATTAACCAATGCCTAACCGCCATGGAGCCCTTAGCTCACCGCCAAACCACTCACAGACCCAGCCAAGCCCTCAGCTTAGCTACCACCGCACCTAGCCAAGCCTCATTCCCTAGGGCCGAAAGGTGCACCCCATCGTCTCTGAAAAAGGATTCATTCTGAGCGAGAATCTCAGGATGTGAGATTACATCGCCACCCAACTCGAAAACCTTTTTCGACACCGCAGAATTGATACGCTTTCTGGCCCTTTCGATGGCAGCTGGGCAACGACTCCCTCTCCAAGCGCGTCGTTGCAGAAACTTCGACCAAAATAACTTTGCAGTCGGCAACATAGCCCGCAGCACGTCGAGGTCACCCAAAATTGCTGCACGTAACGAAAAACAGTCCATGGAGACCAGGTCGTTCTCACCCAGCTGCACCACCACAGCTGCAGGAGGCCCCTCCAACAACATCTGCCTCCGAATCAGCGGCAGGAACTCTGACCAGCGCATTCCCCGTCTGGACAGCCAAGCCAAGCGGACATGTGGAGGAAGGCCGAGACCTGGTCCCAATGCGGATTGCCGGGCTCCGATGCCGGCCCAATGCACGATACTGTGCCCCACCAACCAGATGCGGACAGTCGCTAAACCTGAGGTAAACAAGCAAAACAGAACAACAAGCAGATGTAAGCATATCACATTGTCAACGGACATAACCTCTGAACGCATTTGATTTCCAACGACCCAATTCCTTTATTCTGTCAGCCGACAGGCCCCAGTGCGCTGCGGTCGTAGCCGCCCCGATCCTGAAGGAATGGGGGGCAAAACCATAAGCCGACTCGCCACAAGCGATGATCGCCTTCCGCATCACCGTTGCGAACTGGTGTCTTGTCAGGGGCTGCCCATCTTCATGCCTCAGCATCGGACCATCCCCTGAGGGGCGGACAGCCAGGAACCTTCTAACGTCTTTTACGGGGCAGGGGCCGGCTTCCCCCGTGGCAGGGAGACGAATAAGAGCTCCCCTACCCCTCTGATCTGTTTTCGAATTCCGGATCGTGAGTCTCAGCTCCACCGGGGATAACTGTACATCCTGGAGCAATAGGCCCCTAGAACGGCCGTCCCTGTGAACTTCCAGCACCAGCTCGCCCACCCGGAAGGCTCCAAAGAAGGCAATGGAAAAAGCTGCCGAGAAAAGGCGAGCCTCATACGCGGACCAGCAGACACTCCGCAATTTCTTGCGCATCCTGCCCAGCAAGTCAAATGAGATCGGGCGCCGGGATGCGGGTCAGGAAGGGCAAAGCCTACTCCAACCTTCAAGGGCCCTACGCACTACAAACTTTGCGCAAGGATCTTTGTCAAAATATGACTTAGAGAAAAACGCTATTGCAGCTGCCTGAATCCTAATTGTCTTGGCTGCGCGCCCCAACTGAAAGAGGTGGGCCAAATATCTCAACACCTGAGAAGTGGAGGGTGGAGCCCTTCCCGCCACACTGGCTGACTGGTGGGTAAATGCTAAAAAGTCAGACCATGCTTTAGTGTATGACCGGAGGGTAGAAGGGGAAATAGATGCAGCTACTCCCTGGAAAACTAAATGCTGCCAAGGTTCCAGAGATGATCCGGGAAATATTCCGGACGTTCCCGAGCCTCTGGAACCAGAAGTCTGAACCGCTCCATCTGAAAACGGGACAGAGCATCAGCAATTTCGTTAGACACCCCCGGAATGAAACGTGCGGAAAACACTATATTATAACGTAAGCAATGTAGAACAAAGGCCCGCAAAAGGGCCGACACCCTGGGGGAGCGTGAAGACAGCTTGGCCAGCACGTTCACCACCGCCTGGTTATCGGTCCAGAAGCAAACACGACGGTCCCTGAACTCATCGAGCCACAAGTGCACTGCCACTGCAATGGGAAAAAACTCAAGAAAAGTTAGGTCCCGCGTAATGGCTTCCCCTTGCCAGGCGGGTGGCCAACGCATGGCGCACCATCTGCCTTTCCAATACAGACCAAAGCCCAGGGAACCTGCCGCATCTGATTGCACTTGAAAATCATTATGTAAGTTCAACGTGTCCTGCCACAGGGATACTCCATTGAATTCCTCCAAGAATTCAAGCCAGATGCAGAGATCCGCCTTCACCTCCCTAGAGAGGCGAACCCGATGATGTGGGGCCTTCAACCCCGCCGTAAGTCGAGCCAGGCGTGAACAAAAGGGGCGCCCAGGCGCCACTACCCTGCATGCAAAATTCAGGTGCCCTAATAACGATTGGAGTTGCCTTAGGGACACCTTCTTCAAAGGGAGCAATTCCTCTATAACTTTCTTCAAAACAACCAGCTTATCCTTTGGCAAGCTGGAGGTTTGAGAAACCGTATCTAAGAGGATACCCAGATAAGTAAGCCGGGTCGAAGGACCCTCCGTCTTTTCTGCTGCAAGCGGAACGCCCAATTCTTGCGTAAGGTCTGCAAAGGCATGCAGCAGCACCGCGCAATTGCCGGTATCATGAGCCGAGGCCAATAAAAAATCATCCAAATAATGGGTGACTCCGCCCAATCCAGTTTTTTGCTTGAGGGCCCACTCCAAAAATGTGCTAAAAGATTCAAAAGCGGCACACGCTATTGAACAGCCCATAGGCATAGCTTTGTCAAAGTAATACTTGCCCTCAAACTGGAAACCTAGAAGCCAAAAATCCTCGGGATGAATAGGCAATAAACGAAATGCAGATTCAATATCGCATTTCGCCAATAAGGCGGCAGGGCCGAACTTCCGAATCATCTTGATTGCATGATCAAGAGAGGCGTACTTCACGGAGCAAAGCTCCGGAGGAATAACATCATTGACTGAAGTGCCCCTAGGGTGTGATAAATTATGAATTAAGCGAAACTCGCCTGGGGCTTTCTTTGGCACGATACCCAATGGGGATACATGCAACTTACGAAATGGGGGAGCACTGAAAGGACCAGCCATACGATGCATAGCCACCTCCTTTGCAATCTTTTTTCGAGCGATTTCAGGCAGCTCGCAAACTGATTTTTGATTAGAAGGATTCCGTGCCACGGGAGGCATGGCTACTGGAATCCGAAAACCAGCGGAAAAACCATCAACCAGATAACGTGCAGCAACCCTATTGGGGTAAGACTGCAACCAAACTCGGAGGGTCGACAAACGAACAGGGGTATGAGCCAAGGAAGACAATACACTATTTCCCTGTTCCTGAGGTGGAAGGAAGGGGGGCTGACTTGGGGGGTTGCTGAGAACCCCCTCTTCCCCCCCGAAAGGGCCGCCTACCGCCAAAACAAGAGGAGGCAGGATGCGAGCCATTACATTTTTCACATGAGTGAGCAAATCTGCACGCTGGACGCTGGCAGGAGCCCCTATTGAAATCCCAGCATAGCAGACGGCGGCCCGGCCTAAAAACAGAGATCCTCGACTTCTGCTGGTCCGGCACCTTTTTATCAATGAGTGGGGCTACATAGGTGGTCCACACATCGAGATCTTTGCGATCCCAGCGGGCCGAAGGAATCCTGGCAGCGCGGCGCCTGAAATTCTCATCATATTTGATCGCAGCTTTTTCACCAGCTTTGGTGAATGCGGAGCGAACAATAGATAGATAAACTATCAAATGAAGAGATCTCCGAGGGTAAGCTGCCGTGACCACGCCAGCGAAGACCTGGAAACAATCGAGCCAATGTTCGAATGTCCTGTCCGCAGCAGAGGCACCAGAGCGTTTCTTAGCAGAAGAACTTCCCTTCTCCTGTTCCTCCGAAGGAGGGAGCAATTTAAACATGTCTACGTAGCGGCCATTCAAAATCCTGGAACGCAACTTTGCCGACAAATGTGAGCCTGGTATGATGTCCCTGGCGGAATTGGTTGAGACTTTAACGTCAGGAACCAACACGCCATCCCTATACTCCTGGGTTGCCCCATATTTTGCCCGATGTGTGTTGGCCCTCCGCTCCCACGCCCACCGTGGAAGCCCCGAAACCGACTCGCCGAAACCCCAGTACAGCTCCATGGAGTTACCCTCATCATCGGAACTAGAAGATGATGTACCTGAATAAGAGGAAGAAGTGTCGTCCTTCCTCCGTTTGGCGCGCTTCCGGGACGTTCTCCTGTGGCGACGCTTCCCTCCTGAGGATTTCCTGGCCGGGACAGGAAGACTGTCTTCAATAGAAGACTCGGAATCAGGATTCAGCAAGGATGGAGCTGACGCAGACTGCGGAGAGACAACAAGTGAGAGGCCAGAACCAGATGCCACCTCGGCGGGAGGCTGAGCCGACGTACGCCGGCGAGCAGGAGCTACGAAGGGGCCCTTTTTTCCTGCGGCCCTTCTGGTGGGACCGCCAGACCTGCGTGACCGGCCCCGGACAACAGGTAAGTCAGGGGACTGGGCTAACTGGGGGTCCACAATCAAAGCGCCTGACGATGACCCTTCTCTCCCATCTTCACTAGACGACGGTGAAACCGGAGACGACGCCGTCGCTGAGGGAGGCGGCCTCCCGGATACAGACGACCGGGTGGAGCAATGTTGAAGGAAACCATCCATTTCGGCCGCAAAACGAGACAAGGCTGCTGGGTCCCCGGCCATACTTGCCACCAAGGATTGCACCCGCCCCACAGGTTGACCCACAGTGGGTGAGCGGAACGCCTGGGATGGACCCTTAATAGGCCGTTTTGTAGCGGCGGCTGGACCCGAGCGAGCGGCGGCTTTCTTTGGAGCCATACCTGCTAGTCGGAAAATAAAGTTATTATCAATAAACTTCACAATCAACACGACCAATAAAATGCCTATCAAACTTCAAAATGAGTGATCCACTGCTGGCCAATGCACCAATAGCGCCGAAGTGCCTCTGCTGCCTGTCAGCCTTTTTAATCAGATTAGGAGAAAATAATTAAGATTAATTAAGATTAAGCAAAATTAACTCAAATTAAAATATGTTAATAGATGAATCACTTGTCTATGTCAGGATAATTAAGAAACTAAATGTCGCCTTGTTCAAGCCAACAGTGGCCTATGGGACCACGCGAACAACTTATCTATCTATCTATCTATCTATCTATCTATCTATGCAATCAGCCTGCTTATTTAGCAGAATGAGCCAAAGGTAAGTGACCCTGCACTTCCCCAAGCCAGCCAGCAGGGGGCCTCTCAGCTACTGTAACCTCAGTGGCTGGGCCAGCTAAGCGAGGAAGGGGGGGGAGGGAGAAGGCGCAATACCGCAGCTTGCCACTGGGGGAGCTAACGTGAAACAGGAGCAGTACAGCCAACGGCC